ATATATACATACATGTGCGTGCGTGCGTGCGCGTGCGTGCGTGCGTGCGTGCATGTGTGCGTGTCGTGTGTGTGTGTGCGTGAGAGGAATCCTATATATAAAGAACTCGTCATGCATAGTCTTCTAAAAAAATTGACACTTATAGTGAAAGCAACTAAGGGTTTTAGTCATATGGAGTGGTAAAGTCATGGCATCCAAGGTATTTGTGATATTTGTATTGATCAGCATTTTCGGTTCGACTGATTCACTCTGGACAACTGTATCAAAAAGTTTAATTGGTCCAACAAGTAAATAATCTTTTGTGCTTATAAATATTATTCAACTATTGTATTTAAGGATGTTAATAAAGCTATACTATAAAAATTATCGAAATTAAAAAAACAACAGATTCTTTAAATATTTTTTTATTTTAATAGCAAACAAATTTTATTCGTGAATTTTGTATCAACTTCAAAGAACAAAATGATTAATAATTAATTTGGCTATATAGCTTATATGTACAATGATCATTTTATTCAATTTTAAATAAATTACTTTTGTAATGTATCAGATATGAAAATAATATTATAGAAAACATAATTTTATGAGTTGATTCATAAATAAATTTAATTAAAACAATTAATTAAATGTACCAGCTCATAATTTTTTGACAGTCATAATTTTTTTACATTAGTCTCAAGCGTCCAAAAATATATAAACTTTGATTTAATAAACAATAATATCAATAATCCAAGAATGAGATAATTATTACTTATCTAATTTCATAGAATTGCCAAGTTCATTTTAGCAAAAAGCCAAAAAATTCATAATTATTTCAATTCATTATTAGGATATATTCTTGTCATTAATTCGATTATAATATGATTATAATTGAGATTTATTTCGCTCTTCTTTCTCAGGCCTCTCTTTCAGAGAATGACTTTATTTGTAAACAAGTTGATAAGCAAATTGTCACCAAGTTAGCACTAAACTCGCTCAGAATTCGATGTTATCTGTATCAGCAACGCTCATGTTTTACTAGTAAATCTCGCGTAATTATAAAACAGCAAATTGACAGCAAAACCAAATAAAATTCTGGTTTGTCTTATTTTTGGTCGGTTCTTACCAATTTGGTAAGCAAATTTAGCATTGCCGATAATTTATTTTTATGTTACATCAATAGATTTTATTGTCCTCGTTCTAATTTATTGACATTATTAAATGTAATAGAATTTGCATCAAAGATGTCTTTTTATCGACAAGAATTATAGCATTTGACACAATTTATTTTCGACAGATTTGGCTGACTGGATAATATATCCCATAAGGATTATCTTCAAGATTATCTCCAAGATTATCTCTAAGATTCTTACATTTTTCCACAGTAAGTCTTTCGTCCAAAAATAATTTGTCTGCTTTGAATAAAGTTGATAGGACTCGATTAAATACATGCCTACATTTTTCCTCGAACCTTTTTTTTTGTGCTTCTCTCTGACCTTGCCCTTTTCTTAATCTTCCTATTTCATTATCTTTTCTTTTATATTCTATTTATACAGGATGCCTCAAACTTTTTGACACAGTGCTCGTATGCAAGTAGAGCAGACTAAACTGATTTAAAGAGTCCTGTACTATTTTACAATTTTCAGAGATATTAGTTTTTAAAGATTTCATTCGGAGAAGTTAACTATTGCAAAATAAGTCGGGACTCAATTTAGTTTACTCTACTTACGTTGTGTCAAAATTTGATACATTCTGTATATCATTACACTTTTTTAAACGAATAAATGAATTAAAATAAACAAATATTTATTCAAGTTTTATTATATTTAATACATGTTATTTAGTTCGTAAATGCTATTTATAATGCTACTTTCTCATTACATTTTGAAATAAGTATTACAAAACGATTGTATAAAAGATATAATGCAAACAAAAAATGTTTAACTCTCCCTTGGTGGGAAAAAAATTTTTACGAAAAAGTACAGAAAAACTACATAGATTGAGATAAGATCTTAGAAATTCTTAATTTTTCGTAGTGTGACGTAGAGTGACATTGAGGATGAAGGATTTTTAGGTTAGGTTTTTTTCAAACAAACAATACCGCTCTACGTCCCATTATGAATATCTATGAGAACTAATAATTTCTAAACTCTTGTTTCAATTCTATGTAAAAGTTTTTCCGCCAGGATCGTATCAATTTATCCGACATTCACACAAAAATATAAATATTTTTACAGATTTAGTTTGATATAAATATCCGAGTATATTCAAATCACATTGATCAATAAAAAACTGCTTTGTACAGCCATTATTTCTTTCTTTTTTTACATTTTTAGCAGGAATCTTGTAAAACATTATAGCAAAAAAGTAAAAAATTTTAAATTAACAGAAGAGTTATAATTAAAAGATTGACACTAATTATATAGATATGCAAACATAATAATAAAACAATTTTAAAAAATTTTATATTTGATAATGCTTTAAGATGCGACACATATGTCTTTAAGCTCGAGTGAAATGAGATAAAGCGAGATTTTTCCGTCTATTTCTCGTTTATGTTTCTGAACAGCATATATTGAACATTTTAAGAACTTGATGCTTGTTATATCAGGAAACAATCATGTAACGATGTGATGTATTTTAAATATAACATCACTACAAAAGAATGTTGCTTGCTGCAAATTTTTATGTTATTTTGTCAAGTTGAAACTGATGGAAGAGCCCCGTTCTCCCTGTATATATAATTATACGAAAATTCATAGTTTTATATTTATTATTTAACAGCACCAAGAAATTGCGTACCGGGAAAGAAATATTTTGATGGCTGCAATATTGATATTTGTATCCTCGAGGACAGAATTTCCTGCACTAACAACCAACGGAATTGGCTACGTGTTCATCATATGATTCAAAAACAAATTGTTTCCTATCAGTGCCAGAAATTCCATCAGTTGTTGATGTCTGTGCCAAATTATACACTTGACTGCGATAGGACTTGCTCAGATACGAGTTTAATCGTGTGCGATTAATAAATAATGTAATAATTGTTTCTTATAAAACGTTTAATTAATATGTTTCGTGTTATAAAACAATTAGAAAGTCTGTATTATTCTAATAGTCTTTTTAATCCTGTAAGCTTTAAATTCCAAATTTTTACAGAATTTAAAATGGTCATTATGATATACAACTCAAAGGAATTAAATAATATATATTTTTAATATAAATAAAACTTTAAAGAAATAAATCAAAATAAGTAAAAATGTGATGATATAAACCAACAGTGGTAATGTGTAAAACTTGTGCTATTAACGATAATTAATCATTACAGACATTTTGATCACAACTTTGGTTATCTTCAGTAACAATGAAATGGTAACTAAAACAGTTGAAACGTTTGTAATTATTACTATATAATAATACACATAGCTTTTACACCATCGAGTGTTGGCCTTCAAAAAAAATTAAGTTATTAGATATTTTCATTAAAATAATGATAAAAAAATTTATCAAAAAATTTGCAGCTTCAAAAGTACTTTGAAATACAAAATTTCAAAAATTAACAAAATATGTGTTATATTTCTATTTACTTTAAATACAACACAATTAGAACATTACATATATTTATACAATTCTAATTTAATGACTGAGACGTTAAGCCGTTATATTATCCTTTATTAATTTTTATTTAGGAAAATGTATGGAATGTTATAGATTTTCAATAAAAATGAATTTATTGAAGTTAAATGTCATTTTATTACGAAAGCTTATTTTTATAAGTTACAAAATTATGAAATTTTATGTCTCGAACTTAAACATTTATAAAAAAATTTATAAAAATAATTTATTAAAAAAATGTGTTGTGTATGTGTTGGCACATTTTTAAATTAAAATAATTAAATTAAATATAAAATAAATTAATTAAAATGTGTGTGAACCTTAAATTTTATTTTTCATTTTTTATTATTAAATTTTACTAATTTTACAAATTTTTGAACATATCACTAATATTAGGTGGGAAAAAGTTCGTGGCGTTTTTTTAATGCCATCTAACGGGAAAAATGCCACGAACTTTTTCCTACACCTAATATAATGGCATTTGTATTTGTATACTTGTAAAAATAAAATATTTAAACAAATAGTTTTGTTAAATTATGTATGAATCCTTTTAAAATACTTAAGGAAGAATGATTTTTTTAAATTGTATTTTAATTCATTAAAAAAGATTTAACATAAGGATTAAAAACATTGTTTGTTATTTAAAAAATGTTTTTCTAACGTTAAAACGGTTCCTTAAACTTTTTAAAATAAACTTTTTGTGCATTAATAAAATGCTTCTATAACAGAAATTTCTTGTAGGGCCAAACATGAGTATTACGGATGAGAGCCATGGTACGTCGTTTCGTACAAAGTTTAATTTTTTTGAATTTGTAAGAGAAAAGTAGGGCAAAAGATTAAAACGGTTTCTAAAACTATAAAATAAATATTTTTTTTAAACATTAATGAAATGTTCTTTCGAATATTTAAATAAACGTATTTTTTAACGCAAAAAGATTGACTTATTACTTAAAAAAATATTTTCAAAAATATTTTTCGAATTTTTTTTGAAATTTTTTTAAAACGTTTTTGCAATCGCTATTTGTTAATTGAGCTCTGATCCATGTGTAATTTGATTGATTAACTTGAAGTTGTTCTTACTTAAAAAAATCATATTTAGACGCAATTTTAGAGAAAAATGTTGCTTCATTTAATACACAGAGAACAATCCCATGTACGAATACTGATACCCGTATATATCTTGTTCTATAAGGGTGATTGGATATATAAAAATAAATTATTTTGAAACCCCTTCATTTAATTTGCTTTATTTGATATCAACAATATAAATTATAAGTAACAGATTTATTATGAATCTACAGGAATGAACGTTTTGCTTTGCATAAATCTCGATATCTCAGAAATGTTATATTTACTGTCACTGCATATAATATATATATATATATAAGAGATATTATTTTCAGCCGATATATGCATTTTACAATTTTGTTTTACTGTTTCTCGTTTTTCAACTGAATGATTATACATGGGAATACACCAAAGGCTCTATCTTCCTCAGTCAATTGGCTGTTTTCATTCACTGGAAAAATTGGAGACAAAATTCTAAGCAATATTGTGAAATATTCATAAAACTATGTACATTATTATATTATATATGTATAAAAGTGCGCATTATATACGCAAATTCGTAATAGAATATCAACTTCTGACAAAACGTTCGTACAAAAACATATTTAAAAAATGCTTACACTGTTTTTTTTAGTAACTAACAATGAAACATAACCAACTGACCCCCTCCAATTAATAAACTTGAATATGTTAAAATATGAACAAAAATAAATGTTCGTTTTTTAAATACATGTTGAGTCACAAGTTTACATTGAAATACAGATTTGTCATTAGTTATTTTAATTAAATGGAATTTCGAAATTAAAAATGACGGATCCAATATGTAAAAATTCTCTAATTTGATGGCAGCTTATAATGTTAAGTTCTGTTGGCTTTGAAACTCATGTTCCAAAAACTCTTCGAGTCACTTGTCAGATTTATAGTTGACAAGAATATGGAAATAAAAATGATCGAATTAATATTCATGGAATTTTTTGAAGCACAATAGATCATTCAAGTAAAAAATTTTTAATTTTAGATCCGCCGATTTTGAATTCTGAAATTTGGCTAAAGATTCATAATGAACGATTCTAATATTCTTTAATAAGAATACATAAATTAAATGCTAATTATTCTGTAAAAAAATGACAAACAATTAAAATTGTTCTTATATGTGAATATATATGCGAGGATTGATATTGAAACACAAAAAATTGTTACTTTTTATACATAAAACATTTCTAAATCTTCAGATTGACTACATCGATTTTATACAGACCATCATAGTCGAGAATATATATCGATGTTATATAAAAAATCTTTAGATCTTTTAATATTTATTTAGTTTCTCAGATATTTTATTTGAAAGTTTGTTTGACGTAATAATTGTAATAATTGTTGAACTTAATAACGATTCAACATTTATGCATTGTTGTAGTTATCTTTTATAAGTATTCCTTGATTGCATCGCATAATATATAACTAATTATAACTAATTCACACAAAGGAAGAAAAGTTCGTACAAACTCTCAAAATTATCAATAGTAAAATAAGACTAGTAAAATAAGACTAGATGAATAACAGTAAAATAAAAGTGCGACGCTGTAAATAGAGCACAATTAATTTTACATGCAGATTATATTGCACTCTGTTACTGCATCGCACTCTCATTAACTTTGTTTTATTGTTGTTAATTATAACACAACTAAAATTGTGAAAAAGATAGAGAGAAAACAGCTTACATGCTATTTTGAATTTACTTACATGAATTTAAACATTCCTTTATATTCCTAAAAATTTCCTCTGAAAACTGTGCTAAACCCTTCTCATTAATGTTTTTTTTTACTTCTTCAATTATTTTGTCTATAACTAACTTCCTATCTACCAGCTGAAATAAGAAAAAAAGTACACAATACATCATGCATGCATTTACGGGTTATCTATCTAAAAGATTAATTATTGGCTATCATTCTAATTAATATTTATTAAGTTTATGGTAATATACACGGTGTCCTAGGATAGCTGCCAAATATTTCGTAGGCAGGTAGAATGAATTAAACTAAGTCGAAAACTCCTCTACCATTTTGCAATTTTCACAATAGTGAACAATATATTATTAAAAATTGCCGAATATTGGTTTTCAATAATTTTTTTACTCAAGTACTTTTAATTTTACAGAAAAACAGTAAGATATAAAAATTGTGGAACTCCAAGAATTTTTTCAACTTTGTAATAGTATTGCATTTTCTTATATATTGGCAACTATTTTTACCAACATGAGAAAATGCCGTACGAACAAATTCTGAGAAAAAATTCTCAGAACTTTTTGAGAAGAAATAAACAATTTTTGTCTCTTACTGTTTTTTTCGTAAAATTGATAATATTTGAGTAAAGAATTATTGAAATCAATATTTCAATGACAAATTTGAGTAATTACATATTGCTAATTATTGCAAGTATTTCAAAATAATAGAAGACTTTTCGAATCAGTTTAGATCGCCCTATACCAGTACACGAAATATTTGGCGATCATCCTGGAACACCCGGTATATTATATTTTATATTTTAGCCCGTGTAATTATTCGTAATCATGCTATTCCCATACGGCACATTTTATCCGAGAGACGTTTTAAAAACGTTTTTAGAACGTTGAAGAACATCCTTTAGATTTTTAAAACGTTCCTTAAAAATATAAGCTGTATGAGTTGAGAATATAGTTATTATTATTTATTATTTTTGTGAATATGTTTTATTAATTTGCATTGTTAAATAGATTTATTATTTTATTAATTATTTCATATTTAATTGCATCTCTAATACGTTCTGAGTCTTTTTTGAAACATTCAACAAAAAATTTAAACAAAGTATGAAATTTAAGTATTAAAATTTCAATTAACTTTTATAATTTTCAATTAACTTTTTAATGTTATAAAAATAGACTATTTTTTACGCATCTTAACAAAACATGATTGGAAAAATAGTTATTTTATAATTGCTTCAATTTCACACTATACTTTTTATCAG